TCTTCGTTGCCATATTCACGAGGTTTTGGCCGTTGTACTCTCCAACCTTCTTCGGGTGATTGGAATTTCGAACTGAAACCTTTATTTCGTCCACCTTGGTGGATTGTTCTAGTTTCACATGCCGTGCCTCTTCCGGATATCTCAGTATCAGTTATCCCCTTTAACTCAAATCTCCAAGATTTTTGTTCACCCCAGCTGTAGCCAGGTATTGAACTCATAACTCTTTGGGCTCAATTCGAAATTCCAATCACCCGAAGAAGACTGGAGCGTACACTACATCATCTCAGAAATATAAACAGATCCTGTATAAGGGCGCGGCGTACAATGGCCGAAACGTCGTGAATATGGCAATAGAGATGTGGACAACAGCCCGAGCAATGTAAATAATGTAAATAATTACAATACCTCATCTCAGAAATATGCACACTTATACATGTTTGTTTCTTTTTTCAGGGTTCAGTTTCACAAATATTATCGAATAAATTGTGTAATTAAACAAATGGCGGATTCTTGGACTTATTATGGTTGGAAAGTTATAGATAAAATTCTGATTAATTTCCTTGAATGACATTTGATCGAATTGCCTAAATATTTGACCAACATGCCAGGCTATACATCTTTTGTAAAATTGAATGATAAAAGAAGAAAGCCACGTGATCTATGTTGGCAGGAGGAATAAATTCAATATAAACACATGTGATTTTGTAAGCTCAGCTTAGATGTAGCCGAATGTATGGGACACCCAGTGAGAATCGAACTCACTATTCAATCGTAATAGATCTAGCGAGACAAGCTTACTAACCATCACACATATAATGTATGTATATATTAGGAAAATTTGGGTGTAACAATTAGTAATGGTAAATATATAAGACAATTTGAAAAAAAATATTTTGGCATGTTTCGCCAATCAATTGGCATCATCAGAAAAAAAATCACATTTCACTTCAACAAAATCCACATTGGCGAGACAGAATAGGATTTACTTTAATCATATAGACACTGGATTATCTACTTTAACTGTATGGTTTTTGAAATTATACTTTACTAATTTTTATTAATTTTTTTTAATTTATATATTTACTTGCTTTAAAGTTTTTTCTTTTTGACAAACAATATAGTTCCGATTCTCTAGGTTGTTGCCTTTAATATCTCGAAGGCGTTTGATAGAGTTTGGCATGTTGGTCTTCTTCACAACTTGAAAGGTTATGGTATTTCTGAGCGAAGTTTAGATTTGATTCAGTCTTTCTTATCAAATTATGAAATGAAAGTTGTCTCGAATGGCCACTATTTTAGATCTTTTTACATTAATGCGGATATGTTTCCTAAGGCGGCTTTATCCGTGGACCTATTGTGTTCCTCATTTTATCAACGATGTCTTTCCAGTTCTCGATTCTGTATCTATGACACAACTATTTACTCCTGTCTTAATGGTAAGTCTGATCGGTTTGATAAAGAGAAATTGACAGCTGATTTAAAAAAAAAATGAGCTTCAATTTTTTGTCGACTGAGGAAATAAATGACTTCTTAACTTTAACTTGGTTCACTCACCAGAGTCTATCTTGCACCTTTATAAGTCTACTATTCGTCCATGCATTGAATGTTGCTGCTACATCTGGTCTGGTGCTTCTGCTATCTATTTAGAGATTAAAAATCCGAATGAAGAATCTGCCATATTATCGGTGCTGACTTGGCATCTCGGCTTCAGTCACATTCCCACCTCTGTAACATGGCTTCCCTCTGATTTTTCTATAACTATTTTCACAATAATTGTTCTGATTAACTTTCCTCTTTGGTAACCCGACTTTATGAATCTAAGCGCATACTAGATTGGCAGGTAGGTCTCATTGAAACGGCCTGATGTAACTATAGTTTCTAGGGCAATAGTTGATTCATTCGCACTTCTCCCTCTTGGAAGTCTCTTCCGACATCTTGCTTTCCAATGAAATTTGATCTTCAAAAACTTAGATACAATGTCAATCATCATGTTCCGTTTCCTTAAATTCTCTTCTTTTATCGGCTTCTCTCCTTAATAATGTTTTTTTTTTCTCGGATTCGTTCACACTCAGTAACCCCTTATGTCTTAGTGGCTGTATTACCTTGCTTAGAGTGAAATAATATATATATATATATATATATATATATATATATATATATATATATGTGTGTGTGTGTGTGCCTGTGTGTTTGCTTGTGTGTTTGTGAGTGTGTGTGTGTGTGTGTGTGTGTGTGAAAACGAAAAAGGAACCTACCAAAACATAAGATAAACTTCTAAAAAAACAAAAACAAAAGAATGAGATAAACTTCTAAACAAAAGGTAAAAGCTAATTTCTAAATGCAAACACGAAAACAAATATACACTACGCTATCCACAACCAAAGCATGTCCAAAAGCCTGAATAAAGTCCCACAATCGAAATCTAATAAACTTTATTTCAAATATAAAATGTTAGAACCAAAGAAGAATATACGAAAGGAAAATAAACAAATAATAAAATTAACGAATAAAATGATAACTAATAAGAAATAAATATAATAAACTAACTAAAAGTCATAACCATAATTAACCCTAACCATTAGTCCTAAAGAAAAGAACTCTGAAGGGACAGTTTTCTCCCCCTACTTAACTTATCCCGCAGTGACCTATTGTTACAACCAAGAAAAGGTTACTGAATGAGGAATAACCAAAACGGAGGTTGGGAAGGAAATGGTAATCTTTATAGCATCAAACAAATACAATACTCGCCAGCGGCGTGAAGTAGGTAAACCACTGCTAGTGGTGAACTACTTAGACAGCATATTACCCCCACTTACAATAGTGTCCAACGTACATTATGAGGATTGGAACATAACTATTAGTATTCATAGGCACGGTATATAACACTGATATAGTTCGCTAAAGGAAAACTGGCACATGGTCGCTTGAGGTATGAAACTATCGACATCTATAAACGCTCTCGAATATGGAAACTCCTTTCCATACAAATATATCAAATTTTAAACAATATATATATATATATATATATATATATATATATATATATATATATATATATACACCGAAGTATAGGATTGGTGTATGCGGAATAAATTCTAATAAAAAAAAAATACTATTATTAAAAGAGTGCTCAATATAGAGTAGAACATATATAATTATTTATTCGAAAATTATAACATAAATATGTTATAAAATCACTACAAAAAAGCCATTTTCTTTCGACACTAAACCTTTTAAAACCCTTTATTCTACATTCAACATCATCACTTGATAAAGCACCAGAAGTGTTGAAACGGAATGGCTATTTTTTGTAGTGATTTTATAACATATTTATGTTATAATTTTCGAATAAATAATTATATATATATATATATATATATATATATATATATATATATATATAATAAAATATATATATTTTCTTTACTCTGTCCTAGACATTGAGTTCTACCTGGATTCTTCCTCTTGAAATTTTTTTCTGAAAATATACATGTATGGGTATTTCTATATTTTTATATATTTTGCATATGTATGTATGTTTTCCACTAATATTATATATATCTATATATATATATATATATATATATGTGTGTGTGTGTGTGTGTGTGTGTGTGTGAAGAGAGAGAGGGGGGTGTGAATAGAGAGAGAGAAAGTGGGAGATCGTGGACTAATCACATTGCTAATGACAACTATAGATATATGTATATATAGCTACATTTACCTAAACATAAATATTTGAAAGGAGTGAACTTCCACGCATGAATACCTCACAGTTCTATGCATCTCTAATCGTTGTATAACTTTATGTTTCTAATTCCGCGCGTGTGTCTGTATCTGTTTGTCTATATCAGTGTGTGCATGCGTGTGTTTATGAGATTTTGTATGTACCTGTGTATGCGCTTAAATGTTTGCATGTCTCTGTATCTATGTGTATTTCAGTGTATTTATAGCGCCATAGTAAAAGCTTTTATTCCGCCGCTTCTTTTTGCCTTATTCTATTGCTACTCATTCTTTCGGCTGACGATTTGCACTTTTACCAACGGCAATCTATCTTTTCTGACATTCACTTGGCGTCATTCTTTGAATTGTTTGGGAAAAATAGACGTAATCTTCTACACCAATTGACCGCCTCAGGTTAAGGGTTAGGGTTAGCGTTCGGACAGAGAGCGATTCTATTTTCAGATAAAATAAAAAAAAAAACGACAAAAGCACGAATACAATAAAAAAAACATCAACATGGGCAAAGTTTTTTTTTTCATCTTTTTGTTGTGAATTTGATGGAAGCTAGCAACACAGTTGAACAAAAATCTCTGTTGCTTTCAAGTTATTTGAAAGATAAACTCTTTCAAAACTGCGTGAAATATATCGGCTGAATTTTTTCTGATTGGTTATAAATTTTGACTGGTTATTATGTCGCATGCGTGCCAACTTAGAGTGAATCACAAATTTATATGATTCCAAAATTATTTGAAATATTTCTTTTGTTCAAAACAATGACTGGAAACTATGTGAATATATTTTGGCATACTGATCCCACAGAAGAGCAGTTCATCTTTATATATATATATATATATATATATATATATATATATATATATATATATATATATATATGTGGGGGGGTGCGTGATCAAAAAAATTTTCCCATCGTGTATTGATCCATTTCAAAATAGATAAAAAGCCAAGTGTAGGTAATATCACGGTTATTGGCACAAAAAACAGACTTAACGGTCTAGGTTTGAATTCTGAGTGAAACTGTTTATGGTCACTTGATACTAAAAACTGTGGAAAAGACATGAATCATAACCTCCCTGTGTCTGTCCCATTAACATATATAGTAAAAAATATCATTTTTACGCCACGGAGCTAAGCAGACAAGAAAGCGATCGGATGGGCATTTAAACAAGCCAATCTTTCGGAGGTTCCTTATTTATTTAGATAGTAGCACGAAAAAAGCTGTTTCCTCCATTAATAACCTTGAAGATAAGAGATATTTGAAAGTTTTATTCTAGCCTTAAACTCCATGAATTGATTTTATTCAATCCTTTTCCCCGTAGGAGCATGGACAGACAGACAGACAATTTAGTAGGGAGATAAAAAAGATAGTTCGAAACGAAGTGAGCTAGAAAGAAACTAAGAGAGAGGGATAAAGAGAGAGAGAGAGAGAGAGAGAGAGAGAGAGACTAAAGCTATAAGACAGAGGGAGAGGGAGGAGGGATAAATAGACAAAGAAAGGCATAAAGAGAAAATGAAATTACTTTTTGATAAGCGTTAAATAAAAACTACACTCAGGTGTGTGTCATCCATATTGTGAGATCATCCTAACCTGACAATAACCCAACCGAGATTACAATATTCAATAAACGCTGCAATTTCTCATCATTGTTCTTCTGCATTTAGTACGAATCTATCCGGATTATAATAATAATAATAAAATGTCCTGTTTAGAAGACGAAACAGAAACAAGTTTGTAATTCTTTTGATGCGTCAGTTGAATAGTTGAGGGTTTCAACTTTCTGCATAAAAACTCAAGCAAAACTAACGAAATACAAATAAACCTTCTTAGCTTTATAAACAGGATCTTATTTACAAACGCTGCAATATATAACGAATGAGAGAAAAGGGGGGGGGCTAGAAATGTCATCTCTATGCATAATGATTAAAACAAAATCGAAATTATATCAAATGCAGGTCGGGAATGATGCACTCCATCATCTCGTTGTCGTTACATCGCGAGATTTGGCTGATCCAAACCTGGGAAGGAATTCCGAAAAAAAAAAGAGAAAGATATTTTCTCCAAATATTAGATTATCCGATTTTTTTCTTTACAATGGAAACTCAAGAATGTTAGTCGATGGAACGAAACGTTTCAACATTTCCGAAGGACATCAGCGAGAAAGATTTGAACTTGATATCCTATTGTGTGCTTCATTATTTCAGGTCCTTCAAACGGATTTCCATCATTTGGAAATACTGAGACTTAGTCCACCATAGAAATTCAAGGAGTAACAATTCATTTTTGATCTCATTATTTGTTGTTTGGATGAGGGAGCTTCGTTTTCATTCATATCTTCGTAGAGTCCAACAGTCTTTGTGAAATTGAACGTTAATAAAATAATTGCCTTTGAAAATCGTTAAACTGCTCGATTCAATCATTTTAGCTTAAATCGTCACTTTATTTTTGATAATTTTCGAGTTTGAAAAGGAAAACCTTTCCAGACACGAATAAAAACTGGAACTTTTGTTTTGAATCATTTAATCAACAATTTTTAGATATCGGCCCATTTTATTTAAAAAAAAATGATTAGTTCAAATATAGGTACATCTACTAATTCGGTATACGTCAGGTTTAAAATGAATTTTTTTAAAATGCAAAAGCTTTCTTGAAGCTTTCATTTTAGCTTTAATTGAAAGCTAAAGGATTTAAAATTTACTATTTCCAGTAAGCAAAATACTCTGTGTTGTATTTTAAACATAAATTATATTGATCAGAATCGATTTTTTTTCAGTAAAATCGATCAAAACGGCTATTTTTGACACTTTTGTAAACAACAGTTTTAAAAATCGGGCAAAAATAAAATATATATATATATATATATCTGAAAGGTTATTTGGGGGAAATTAGCTAATTAGCTAATCTGATTTGAAACAAATCTCACTTATAGCATAAAATGTTGGATATAAGCATTTCTTAACCACGAGGTCTTGTTTTTCTGACGTGTTAATCGATTTTTGACAGCCAAATGTGTTCATAGTTAAGTATGGTGGGGCAGACGATAAAGTTTATAAGGGGGGCAACCCTTAAAACACGTGACCCTTTAATTACAGATTTATTGGTTCGTACATTCATACTTAAGAAATTCTGAACGTAATCACATATAGAAAAACAAATCGATTTTTAAGAAAATATATTCGGAGTCATTAGATTATAATAATCCTTACAATATATGATTAAAATATAGTTTTACTTATTAACACTTAAAATGAATTTTAAAAGATTTAAAAATTTTGTAAATTATTCAATTTTAAATTGCAAAAAATGAAAACAAATCTTTTAAAAATACATTTTTCGTCGAAAAACCTTTTTTTTTCTTCAGACAATATTGTCTTTAATATATAATATCCATAAAAGCAATCAAAAGCTTCCCTAACTAAATAATTTCTTAGTTTTATTGCGTTTTTTTTAATTTTTTGATTCAGGACAGATCTTGTTCACAAAAGAGACATTTTACAAAATAATACATCAAATGCTTTGGTTGCCCACCGTAACGATAACCATTTTGACAAAAAAATGTTACAATGACAAAGGAGTAAATAATTGACTACGACGTAAATGTCTAGAGAGTGCCTTAATCGCAACGTTGTCTACAGTAAATTTGCGCCCTGGCTCTTACAACATTTCACCATTCCTGGCAGATCTTGTAATATCACAGTGTGGAATGCCTAATTACAAAAGTGATGGAAAGAAAAAGACTCTATATGAATTCGGATGAAAAAAATTTTTTTTTTATTACCAGCATCCCTCTGTCGTGCGCACGTGCAGTCCGACCAACATGACAAAATTAGTCCGATGAAGTCCTGAAGGACGAAATGCATCACAAAATAAACTTTTTTCAAATTTGTTATAAAATTTCCCAATACTGTTCTTGATATATAAAATGTATACAGTTATCTCATATATATATATATATATATATATATATATATATATATATATATATATATATATAACTAGTCGAGGAATCCAACTGAAATAATAAAAAAAACGAAAGAATATTAATATACAATCCAGTATGTCTGAAGATTTTAATTTTTTAATATTTTTATTGTTAAAAACAAAAACACACACACACACACACACACACACACATATATATATATATATATATATATATATATAATATTGCCTTTGTAGGGAAACAGAAGGCGAATATCTCCCTTTGATGGAAATAACCATAAATAAGCAGTCCGTCTGTTTGCAGTAGCCACTTTCATCACTATATGAAGTGACGTCACTAAACGGTCAGTCATTTGACCTATGTGAATTATCTCTAGCAAAGGGAGATAATCCCTTTCTGTCTTCCTATAACTTGGTTTCTAAATATCGCAAATAAATTCAATAAAATGAGTTGAATTTATTTTGTAGAAATTGCTTTAAAGATGATGTTGATCGGCTTCACTTGGTTCAGGAATGTTGATTTGGCCCTACTTTAATAGATTATTTCGCGTGTAAATAATTTTCTTTCAGTGTGTGTGTGTTTTTGGATGTGTGTGGGGGTAATTTTTGTAGATTACCATTTAAATGACTACCCAGAAGCTATGATATGTGTTAAAATCGAAAAATATTGATTTTTTTTCATTTTGGAATGGGATCCTGCTCAAAATATAAATACAGTGTCAAATTTATCCTTAACTTTTAAACAGTTATCTATACTTTGTATTTACAAACATCAACTTTGAAACTGTTCTTATGTTATTAATAGCTACATTCTATCACGAATTAAGAAAAAAAGACAACATCAGTAGTAAAAGATAAACAATCAATATTCCTTATTTTTTATGACTGAGATCAATAGCCAATTCAAATCAATTCGCATTGATCCGAATTGTCACTTCCTAATATTTCAGAAAAACAAATCTTATTTTGATTTTATAGAAATTTGTAAAAAAGAAAAAAGCAATAAAAAAAGACAAACAGGTAAACAGGTGTCCTAAAATGAAATTCTATTCTTAATTTTTTTCTATTATTGAAATAATTTACCAATTTGCATAATTACCGAATGTGGAATCTGTAATAGATAAATTTTGTCAATGTCTATTACATGAAATTTTCCTACTCGTGAGTTAATTATTCTTATTCCCGTCTCTTTCCCATAAAACGCAAATAATTTCAGTCGAAGTTTTTAACATCGGTGAGGCGATTACCATTTTCGGTTTTACAAACAGTTTGGCAACTATCTCTACAAGAATTCTCTCTCTGTCTTTATAAAAGCTCACATCATAGATAACGCTTTGTGTTTGTGAATATGTCTTTATGTGTGTGCGTGTGTGTGCATTTTACAAAGCTTTTGTTGACAATCAAATCTTAACAATAATCGATAGATGCCACTAAATGCACATCTTTTGACGTTTGTTCCTCTTTATGAAAGGCTTTTTGCTTCTTCTTGCCCCCCCCCCCGGTTTTTTCTCACGTATCCACACTTTTACTTCTTTTTTTTTTCTCTTTCTCATTTTCTCATTCTATCTAATCTTCAATTTTCTCCATATTTTCTTCTTAATTGATTTTTATTCTTGTGGTCTCATTTCAAGTAACTGTCTTTTTGATCATGCCAAAATCGCCACGCCTGCTAAATTTTAATGTACTTTTAAAATCTACAATAATCAAATGACAAAATATATACACAAACGAGAAATTCTTCGCGATTTTCAGTTTGTAAAATAATCAGGTTCAGCTATTTCTTTTTGTTATTTATGTATTAACAACTTAATAACTGCGCATTCTATATGAAGCCTTTTGTAATAAATATGATGACATTTCAGTTTAAGACAAACGTCTACACACAGACGATGTCATCTTTAAGGTCATTGAAGCTGCCACCGTTCGTATAGTCGTGTCTAGCCACAAAATCACCGATCAGTTCCCCTGTTAAATACACTCATCATCCTTGTAATTAGTGAAACTGAAGCAAGGGTCATTTTGCCGCTGAAGGTTTTCCTAACCGGCAGCAATGAGAGTAAAGTCGGTCATTTGTAGAAACATTCACCATCTTTGGTTCTCTCTAACAGAACTATGCAACAATTTCTGCATAGTTATTTCTAACCTTTCGCAAAATCTTTCTCTCTTCTTTTTGGTCAATATCAGAGCTTAAAGAATAGAGTTATACGACTTATCGCGGTAGGCAAGTTTTCTTTTTGTTAAGTTTGTGCGTAAATCCGTTATTAAAGATCTCGGTCAAGTGTTCAGACCAGTTTAGCTTGGAGTCAGCATTAGATAAGCTTGTGAAGCAGCAGCGTATATTGTCGGATCGCTGGTTTGTTTGTCGCCCAAAAGACATTTTTTTCTCCAAGTATAACAAGAAGTACTCTTTCAATATCATTCGTCGGGACCACTTTCCCGAGGTGTGTTCAGATGTGCTTCATCCACGCGGTTCTAATAGTTGACAAAATCGTTCCTCGCACAAAGGTCGTCCTTCGCGATCATGTCTCCTACAAAATGATACAAAATTATATTTCACAGCCTTTGTTCAAGTGTGAGTTGGATAAAACATCAATGACTTGTAAGGCTTTCAGTGTACTTTCCACACTATACGTTCTAAAACGCGTGAAGTCCAAATAACGGCGAGAGAAAATTTCGCGATTCTTTATTTTCTCCACCCTTTTACCAGACGTGCGTTTCAATAACAACCATAAAACTCCACAAATAGGATCAGATGTCAGTGTCTGCTTGACGCCTCCCCAATCCAGGGTTATTTCCCTTGAGAAACTGCTTCCCTCGCTCCAAACTGCGTTAACCGTCCAAAGTAGTCTGTTCTACTAGCAGAAAAACAACATGGTCGAAGTTAAAACAATCATATGTAAAGGAACAAATGACTTATATAGCGTAATTTTTAACGCCATCAACTGGAAACAAATGTCTCACCATGTTGGATAGGTGGATTCGAACTTCGACCTTAGACAGACGTTAATCTACCAGTATACTTCTCTTTCATTGTTTTCTATCCCGCTCACCTGTCTACGAAGTTCTTCAAAATACAATTGACCCAAGTGTGCGCAGCGAGTATGCATCACCTTTTCAACAACGGAATGAATCTGGTGAGAAGTACAAATAGGACAAGATCGGATGCATAGCAGTATCCGATCCTTGTCATCATTCGGCTAATGTGAAATGGCCTGTTTACGCACTGAGCGGACAAAGGTTGAATATTCAACTGCTGTCAATCAATGGCATTTTCTTAGACAAGGTTATCACAAAACCTGTTCATTGCCACTTCGGGGTCACAATTGGCCAATTCACTTTCCATTATATAATTTTACCAAATGGTCGTCTACCCCGGCACTTGGCGCTCAACAACATAATTAAGCAGGGTTTAGATACTGCTGGCGTTGCGTCGTTATTGGTGACTGCGAATCTTGACCGTTGAGACTTGGCATTCCGATGACATAACCATTTTTCTTATCGCAAGTCACTTATCTGGGATGCCACCAGCCGCGTTTAGTTCGCAAATGAAAAATGACCATAGCCACCACTTTTGTCTGGCTCCATCACCCGACAGGCAAATGAGCGAAAAAGAGTGAAATATTGATCAATGTCCAGCAGATACAATTGGGTGGCGATCGCGGTTTAGACGTCCGGCATTTTGTTGGTCCTCAGGCTGATAAACTGTTTAGCCAAATTGGCTTCATGACACTTCAAAATTCCTGTTAAAGAAGATTTCGTCAGCAATCAACTGTGTCAGTACACTCGCCATTATGACGGCGCGCGGGCATTATGCCAAAATGAAATAGCAAATCTTTCTCGGCATATAAGGCCTTCGATTCTTCTTTCAACGTTTATCATTCAGAGGCTTTGCCAATTTAAAGAAAAACACGCACACACAGCGTTTGACGTTTAATATATATATATATATATATATATATATATATATATATATATATATATATATAATACACAATAAAGCGTGTAAAAACTATACAGATATAGAATCGTGTGCCGAAAGCAGGTAGAATTTTGCAGAACCGAAAAGTGCTCAATCGGAAACTCAGCAGTATAAAATCCGAAACTACAATAGTGAGTGGACACTAAACACAGAATTTATATACATACATATATATATATATAATGATGATAGTGGACAAAGGAGTGTTGGACGGCCGTGGGTCAGGCTAAAGAGTAATCTCTCAGCTGTCAGTGTGTCTCATACTAACTTCGAGCGAGTTGCCCTGGATAGAAATAACTGGAGATATTTGTGCCAGAATTGTATCCGAAATATATATATATATATATATATATATATATATATATATATATATATATATATATATATATAGACAGAGAGAGAGACAGAGAGGAAGAGAGAGAGAAAGAGTCCTCAATATTGAGCGTTTGTAGATGTGGACAGGGCAACGCTAGAAATCAACACTGCATAGAGACTGTCAGTTTTAAGCCCAAAGTGATCTTCAGACCACACACGCATACACACACCCACACATACATACATACATACATATTTATTGTAAGATTAAAACAAAAGCATGTTAAATACCTACCTACACAATAGCTTTCATGTTTTCGTACAAGAATTTTAATTCCTCAGTTGATGGTAAATGACTGGTGAGTAAAATTTTTTTAAATTTCAAAAGCCGTATACCCCTCGTTTTTACGAAAGAGTTAGGCCTTTTTTAAAATTAAATGTTACAAATAGTGGAGTTATACTCCAATTGTTCATATCTCTTATCTGGAGATATATATATATATATATATATATATATATATATATATATATATATATATATATATATGTGTGTGTGTGTGTGTAAGGAAAACTTGATTTCACCTGAAGTGGAAGATAATATTCAGCTTTAACCTGAAGTATCACTGAATATTTCTATCAGACCTCGAATGTGACAAAACCGATCCTAAATAAATTGATTGGTAAAAGATATTGCAGTCCACAGAAATGAGTCATAACAAGACACACAAAACAAAAAGTTATTTTCTTTAAACAACAATTAGTAAAATAAAACCCAGCTTTATTTGCTAATCACGCGTTTTATACGATTGAGGAATAGAGTTGCACTGTCGATATCCGCCTGAGTACGTAATGGAGAAGAATAAAGAAAATAAAGTTGCTACGTGAAGCACAAACTGTAAATGTTTTTTTCCCACAACATGTGTTATTTGTATTTTAATGGAAGAACGTTAACTTTGAATACAACGAATCAATACATGTCAATGATACGACAGTGTCACTTTGTTCGATTCTCTCAATTACACATTATTATCTATATATATTTATATTTTTATATATTATCTATATATAAGACACAAAGGGTGGACAATGGTTAGAATGTTTGTCTCACTAGAACAATTACGAGAGAGTTAGATCTTCACTGGGCGCCTCATAATTTCGGCCTTGTCCCAGATCTAAGCTACGCTTGAAAAAAATCCCTAGAGAAGACACAAGGGGTTACTGGGTGAATGAATGATATTACATTAAAACTTTTGCAGATTAAAGTTGACTAAAATCATGGAACCGGAAGGGAGTTCCACAAGTAAAAAGTGCGAGAAAAGAAACTGTTAGCATAGAATTTACGGCCACATCTAGCTTGCTCAACTGTAAATTGATAAGATCCCGACGTCAGTCTAATACTGCCCTTAAATTTAAAAAGTTTCGGTACCATAGCGAACAGCCCAACCGATCAATTACCATCAAATTATATATATATATAATTTTTTTATGTGCAGTACTTAGTGGTAAGCGCTCAATATTAATGATAGAGCTAACATAATCAGTTGTATGGATATGAATTTGTGACCCTGGGTTTCACGCTTTATGCGATCATCAGACAAAATCAAAGTCTGATGATCGCAGAAGCTTGAAACCCAGCGTCACGAACTCATTTCCATACAACTGAATATATATATATATATATATATTCTTTTTTTTTTTATATATCATCGCAGCACTGAAATTTCCAAGTTTCAAAAACTGAAACTTCAATTCAAATTCAATCATAAAGTTAAACTTAAAATCAAAGTTCCGTTCCATTATCAAGGGATGCTAATGATTCTTATCATAGCTTGATAATGGAACGGAACTTTGTATTTTAAGTTTAACTTTTATGATTGAATTTGAATTGAAGTTTCAGTTTTGAAACATTGGAATTTCGGTGTTGCAATGATTATATATTTTTTAAAAAGTAATTATAATATGATGCTCTACTGTTGTACTGTTTTTAAAAATAAAAATAAATTCTAAGAACTCTGAATTATAAATCCCATTCTTCTTTCCTATTATTTTAATATATATATATATATATATATATATAAATTATATATTTGTATTTAGTTTATTTAGCATCTTTTTTCATTCATACACGTTTCATTAAATAATATAGACAAGTGTTGATTTTTTTATTTTATGGAATTTTTTTTTTTTGTCTGATAAGTTTTCGTTTAATGATAATGTTATCAAACTTATCAGACGTTATGAAAAATTACATAAAATCAATAAATAAATTCTTTTGTCTATATTATTTAATGAAACGTGTATGAATATATATATACATATAGTGGACTCTCCTATAGTGAACGATAAATGAAGGTCAGTATTGGATAGTGCCTTTCGTTTTACACATGCATGCTAGCAGGGGTTATTGTCAAAAAAATCAGATAAGGGAAAGACATATTTCATTTGTGCATTCTTAAATATATATATAAGAAATTCTTTAACGTAGACTATGTTTATATCCAATCTCCTTTTTCGAAACTCTCATAGATACACACATAAAATATAGAAAATTTTGTCGATTTTGTCTTTGTATAGCACCAGTTCAATTTTTATTTTTGTTCAGAAAGATTTATTTAAAAGCGTATGGCTATTATTAACTATTATGATTATGAAAACAACTTTTGAAAAGCATCGTCTGGTTTTCCGTTGGCGAATAAGTCTTTACCTTTTGGCAATCAGCATTTCTCCTCTAATCGTCTGTATAGCAAGCATTTCTCCTCTAATCGTCTGTATAGCAAGCATTTCTACAACCCGTCAGTTATCAGCGCCAGTGCCTGGTGATTGTTTATACGTTACACAAACGCAATTCAAGATGGGTCGGGGAAGCGTTACGATTGAGGAAGACACACAGACAGACATGACAAATGGGTGTTTTGCTTTTATTTTTCTTTTCGTCGTCCAGATTATGCACAGAGAGGGAGAGAAAGAGAGAGTGAGAAAGAGAGAGATAGAGAGAGTTAGAGAAAGAGAGAGAGAGAGTGAAAGAGAAAGAAAGAAAGAAAGAAAAGGAGAGAGTGTTTTGAGTAGAGGTGCGGATCCATCGTGACTACTCTTTTATTTCGTTTTTGTTTTGGTGTTGATCCCATTGGATGTTTTACAGCAGATTCTTATCACTTCGACCACGTGCTGACCCGCCCAGGGTTAAGTCGCGAAATATGCGTTTTTCATGGTAATGCGATCGCAGTTCAGCATACGTCGACATTTATAACATGTGTTTTTTTTTCTACATGGGAGGCACGCGTGCGCGTGTGTGCGTGTGTGCATTGTTATGTCGAAGCTTTGGCTTGTTCAACTTGCGTGGTCGTTCATATCTGCAGGTCTCGACTTACGTATTTTTGTAGATCACTTGTACCAGTGCAAAGACAGTCGAAGACAAAAAAATACAAACCTCGTCTATTCGTGTATCTGCAGCTGAGTGGGAATAAAGAGAACAGACAGACAGAGGCGACGGGTTTATCCCGCATGCCTTTAGGTATATGCACGCGTCTTTGACTCAGTGAGAATTCTTGTGATCACGAATAGGTTTTAATTGGTATTTGTTGGTTGTGTATCTGTTATAGCATCCTTTCTACATAGAAAGAACTCACTATTAACAGCTTACATCAATTGTGGTTATGTTTTGTGTTTATGGGGTTTTATATATGAAGCCGATAGTAAATGGTTCGTGTATGAGTCTATGCGAATGAAAGTAAGTAAAGTTTCCATTGTGGCGGAGGTTAGGGTTAGAAAAATCATCCCCATTTCGGTACACGGCATTCACTGTGATGACATCTTCATTTTCATTTTATATGGCCGACTGGTTAGGACGTTCGCATTCCGACCATAAAGAGCCGGGTTCGAATCTTACCATCGTCGGTTTGTCAGGTTGTTAATGGCTTGTACAGACGATCGCATCGTACGACATTAGAAAATGCCTAAAAGTTGATCCAAGCCTTTTAAGTGAAATTGGGTAGAATTAACTATTTAGGAGCCCTTGGTGGTTGAGCTAGCACGAAGTCGGAAGTCATCGTGTCCAAGGGTTTGAAAGTACTGGCCTTGTTCAGACTGCTGACCACTCTCTTTCCCACAAACTGTAACTAAGGTCTGCTCAGCATAGTTGCAGTATAAGCCACAGGTGGGCTCTGTGAGTGTTGATTAAACAAAAATGTGCCTGAGCAGGCGACAGCAACAGGGACTGGTTAGTCGATCTAGCAGACAGGCATAGTCGGACAGCAATTACATTTGAATGAGCCTAGTTTTCATTGCAAATGCTCATTTTGGATTTTCAAATCTGAAATATAACACTTGATTTCTTTTAAACATTTTTGGAGAATAAATATTTTTTTACAATAAAGTCCGTGTTGTGATGTTGTTTATAGTTTTATCATTTATTTTTACGATTGTCTTTCGTTTCCTGTCTCTGTACATGTGCGTGTGTATGTTTCTTCACCTCTGTGTATTTTTCTTTTCATACATACATATATGTGGGATACTTTTGTATATGTACAAACGCTCTACGACTAATCACTGCGTGTATGTGTCTGTGTGGGTGTACGTACGCACGTACGTTATGTGTTTTTTTTTCTGTAGATGAGCAGGTGTATTGGCTAACGAGTCCAAAAAGACGGCGGTTGATTGTTTTTATTTCAGATATTTTTTTTTTTTTACAGAAAAGAGACATTTTTCCACAACATAAATTTGAAATTTGAATTTGAAAGTAATGTAAATGTCAAATCTTCAAATGAGAAAGAGGGGGAGGGAGAAGGAGTGTGAGAGAGAACGAATAGTAATATTTTTTCCTGGTTTTTCTGTTAAAAATTCATTTACTTAGACAATGAATTTTCTTACTTAGTGACTTTCAACCCATTAGAGTCAAAATACCGAAGCAATTTTACATGCAAGTTTGCAAAAATATCTTCATAAAAATATCAATTCGACAATGGATACATAATAACAACGTCGACAGAAAAGAATAGCTTTAATTATTTAAGAAATCAACACAAGAAGACCAATTCTTTTACATAAGAGGTCTGACAAAAAAAGTATTGGAACTGTTGCTATGGTAACGAAGCTAAATTGCACAGATTAACTTTCAACATTGTCGTGCATACATGCATACACGTTCTCGCTTATTTCCATTCTTTAAAGCAGAGCTTGGAAAGAAAGTGTGTAGAGTGTGGTCGTCTCACCATACAACACCACAGAGTTTCCATCAGTGACCATGGCTTGTGCATCAGTTTTTGGCTAAGAAGGACAATTCTCCAGATCTCGCCACCTGAGTCTTTTTCCTCTTCCAAAATCAAATCCAACTTCTCACTTCCGTAGGGGATCAATTTGCAAATAACATACTGAACAAACTGGAACTTTAAGTTTTAATAAAATAATATTTTGATATTCGTAATCTGGTGTGCTATAGTAATATGTAAAGGAAAAAAAATGAAAAAAGAAATCACTATTTCTGGTAGTAGTGCCTATTGTACAATGCTACCAAGTATGGGAGAAAAAATTGACCAGACGATAGTGTTTGAACATGAAACAGACTACTGCCATCAAGTGTTCACATTCCTTATCTATCTATCTATCTATCTATCTATCTATCTGGCATTTCGAGAACTGTTTTCTCAATTTTCAGGTCCTTCCTATCAGTCAGGAGGCTGAAGATCATTGCTAATGGCCAGTCTTCTGAATCCCGTGATATTAATGTTGTCGTCCCTCGGCTCTCCCTCCTCGGCCCTTCTCTCTTTCCATATTATATTACCGATTTGCCTAGGAACGTTCTCAGTAAATATGGGTGCACCTTCGTCAAAAGCCTGGCAGCTGATCTCTCATCTGACCGAGCGTTAACAGTCCAGTATGTTTGCGTGTATATGTGTGTCCAGGGCGGGGGGGGCTGTAACATTCATCCTCAAACCAAAGCTAGTAATGGTTCAACATCACAGAGCAGGCGCTGAGTTTTCTACAGTTATAATTGTTGTATATTTTTAATCCTGCAGCCACTTTCGCACAAACGAAACGTCGCAAGCCTATCGCTACTCCCTCTCGCTATTCTTCATGGCAGATTTTCTGACGAGTAACATTCCTTAGTTTCACAAGTTCAGACCTTTACAGCTAGGATTCACCTTGTCACGCCCACAGGGCCGAATCAGCCTGATTCCCTTCGTATTACACGGGTAAGGAAGATTGCATCTCTGAACGCTTCTTCCTGTGAACCGCTATTTTCGACAAAATACTTCGCCAATTACGCATCATGTATAGAGTCAAGCGTTTTCTATCGTAATTATCCTAATGATCTTCTCTCTATTGCTTCTTTTGCATTCATACAACAATCTCACTCAGTAACTCTCTACATTGATTCGCTCTTAGGCCTTTTATTGGGTGAAAATTTAGTAATATACTCTCGACTCTCCCGTCGAATTTGACATATGAGTGTTAAGCAGATCAGTTCCCAGGAAACAGACGGTCCGACAACAACACATGAGACTTGATTATAATGGTGAAGGTTTTGTGCAGAACCATCCACACATTTGAAGGGACAAATACAGAGACTTTATATATATATATATATATATATATATATATATATATATATATATATATATATATATATATATATATATATATAGTATATATATATATATATATATATAAAGACAGAGAGATGATAATATATTTAAAGATATATATCCGCATACACATTCGCATACATAGAATTGTAGCCACAGACATACATGTTAACACATACACACACATGCACACAGACATATATATATATATATATATATATATATATATATATATATATATATATATATACATGTATATTTACATATTCGCATTCATGGACAAAGGAAGGATCCATCAAGAGTAGCAAAACTATACATATATATACAGAAAATGAGAGAAAATTACACACACACACACACACACATATATATGTATATATTCATATATATATATATATATATATATATATATAAAATGAGAGAAAACTTATATATACATATATATGTATATATTTAATATATATTATATTTAACAATATATGTTTGAATAATGATCTGAAAACAAGTTGAAAGCAGTTAAAATCTACGGTGGTTTGTAACAGTGAAATGTCACAATGCTTAGAACCCCGAATTGGCAGATCGAATGTTGACAATCGACGGTAAAAGCATTGAATTGCTTTTAGGAGAGCTAGTCTCAACTGACCAAGGCCCATTAAGCGTCTGCAACTGATATGGACTGACAATATATCCTGACCCAACGGGAATGTTGATATGCAGAAATATTGTCAAGAAGATGATTCACTGAAGAATTTAATCCACACATTTTATATCCGTCTTTCGTGACAAGTGCCATTTCTTCATCGAAGAATTGTCGCTTTCGTTTGTTTGGTGATATCTGTCACAGCTCAACACTTTCAGACTTTGACACGTAATACTCACGCATGGATACGCCACCGAAGAAAAAGAAATTGCTACTTCCATCTTTCGTATTTGAAATGGATGAATCAAGGTTGAAAAGGGTCAAAGCAGGAGGTCAGAAAAGAGGCTGCTAACATTAAACCCATTTTTTTTTCATGAAAATAACAAACAAAAAACAAACAAACAATGCACTCACAATATATTTTGACGTTCCAAGTGGATTGAAATGCAGCTGAGTGGCGCCAATGAGAACCAGACAGAGCGATTCATTTCCTGACAATCAACAATCAAATTAATTGTTTAACGTTAAGGGTTCGAGCCGGCATTCAGATAGTAGAAAACTTTCAAGACATTAACATAAAGCAATCAATTAATTTTATGCTTTTCAAAACTCAAGTAGGGAAATAAAAAGTTTATCAAAAGACTAACATTGCTTTAACAACCAAGAACTTGCAGCTATAAAAACAAACAACAATAATAATAAAAATATTTTAATTGGTTACAGCGGGATTTGAGGAGAAATGAATTTACGCTCGAAGTTGATAGAACTTTCTTGTTGATTTCAAACCCCTTCAAGAAACCTTATATTCTTGCATTAGTATTACAGGTAATACACCGTCCTGGGTATGACGATAAACTACATGCGCGTCCTGGGTAAGACGATAAATATACGTCGAGCAGCAAGGCCTCTGATGAGGAGGTTTTGAAGAGCGTGGAACCACCTCTTAATTGTCGGTGTTCCCAGGTTCACCGTGACCCGGGGTGGCAGAACCTGTTAGAGTCCAGCTATGGGCAAATAGCTAAGACCCAAATTTGTGTAAGCGACCTGGATATGACGATAAACTACATCCGCGTCCTGGGTAAGACGATAAACTACATCCAACAGCAAGGCCTCTGATCAGGAGGTTTTGAGGAGCGTGGAACCACCCCGTAATTGCTGGTGTTTCCAGGTCCACCCTGACCCGGGGTGCTAGCACCTGTTAGGGTCACAGCTATGTGCAAATAGTTGACCCCACAACCTGACACAAAACACTATGAAAGTGTAAAAATAGATTTTGATACCAGAAATACTTTTTTTAAAAAAAATTAGTATCAGCAATAAATATTTGAAAAAGAAAATATTACCAGAAATAAAATTCTTGTCAGCATTAAATAACTCATTGAGGTTCATATGCCATAAAACAAACCAAACTATACATTTAAAAAAATATTACCAGCTATACATTTTTGGAAAAAAAGGAAATTGTGTCGGCATTAAATAACCCATTGTGGTTGATATGCCGTAAAACAAAACAAAACAAATAAAACATACAAGTAATACAATTTGGGATCTGGAGTGACTTCCTCATTTGAACGATATAATCGAAAGGTGCGCCTTTGTTAATAAGAGAACGAGAACGATATAGCTGTCATGGGCGTAGTGTTTTCTTTGATAACACGCATTGTTTTGGTTGGTTGTCTTTGTTTTGCGGCACCTCTATGGGTTATTTTCATGCCGAAATAAAACTATTTTATGAAGATAATAATGTTTTCAGTGATACAAGTCTTACTAATTAATCCGTAGTTTGCAGGGGTGAGTGGGGAGAAGAGGTAGATTCATACCATTTCCCAATGGATATTTGAACATAAGTAAATATAACGAACCCAACGGGAATTGGAACTTGGCTCTCCGATTAATAATTTCGAGCCATTATCAATTACGCCACCCGCACATCCAATCTTACAGCAACTGGTATTCACAAGCTATCACCCATCTTGGTACTAACCAGGCTCGACGCTGCTTAACTTCATTGATCGTACGGGAACTGTTGTGATGTGGCCGTAAGCCGTAATGTTTTGATGGCCTCCAGGTTTAACCCAGAGAGTGAGTGAGAGAGAGAGAGAGAGAGAGAGAGAGAGAGAGAGAGAGAGATAGACAGACATACAGACAGACAGACAGAATTTTAGTGCAATAAACGGGAGATATTCTGACGAAGCAAAACGAAATTGGCACAAAGGTTGGCTGTTGGATTGAAAACCCATGGAGATAAACAGAGATAGCAGCGAGAAAAAAGTCATTAAGAAAGACAAGAATCACTGCATTCAATAGAAAACTATGCATGAAGAATCAGAAAAGAATTCTGATGAGGAAACTGATAGGGCCGTTTAAAAAGTTCCCTAACCAGATTCAGAGGAGCGAGTGGAAAAGGAATATCATAGAATCCTAATAAATTCCTTTCAGTTGTAGAAATAGACAACAAAACTGAATCATACTTATTATAAAACCCAGGTTGTGTGTGTGTGTGTGTGTGTGTGTGTGTGTATCTGTACGTTTATATATTGGATCGGATTTCCTACATTTTTCAACCGATTTCAACAAAAATTCACAGGACTACGTAAAATTACCTTGTGGTGGTTCTGACAAAAAAAAATTGAAAAACACAATTTTTTGCAAAAATCACGATTAAGAGGCATTAATGAAAGGGGACAACTCATATCAAGTTATACTTATTAATATCGAGTTATCGAGTCATACTTATTATAAAACCCAGGTTGTTTGTGTGTTCGTGTGTGTTCGTTTATATATGGGATCGGATTTCCTACATTTTTCAACCGATTTCAACAAAACTTCACTTTTTTTTTGGCAGGTAGTGTTTCTTATTGTCTTGCACACTTTTTTCTTTATTTTTACATTCAGAGTGCTTTAAAAATTCCATTTACAAGACAATTGTTTATAATAAAATTCTATTCAATCAGTAGACTCATCATAACGATTGAAAACAATGTTTTTGTTTGGGTTTGACAAATTCGTATAAAAAAAAAGAAAAAAAAACTAATTAAGACATGCGTGTCCGTCAACCTTAAATAATAATCTTTGTCAATTTTATTTTTCAGTCTTTATGATGGTCGATACTTGATCTATCTCTTACTGTTACATCCCCGGGCAACGCCGGGCTCTACTGCTAGTCTTCTGATAAATCCAGGTTGAAGTTAGTCACTGAAAAATGCGATTTTTATAAAAAGAACTCGGGCAACAAACAAAATACATAAGCATTGTCAGAGATGAAAGGAGAATAACAAATTAAAACTTCAGCAAATTCCTAAAATATAGAACAACAACAATAACAAAAAAGGAAATCCAAAAATTATTCGGACAACGAAAATCATTTATTTTTGTTGTTGTTCAAATACATAAATCAGATTAATGTGGTTTCACTCGTTAGACTTCGCTCAGCAAAAAAAAAAAAAAAAAAAAATGATTTTAGCGACTCCCTCGCATAGATTATAGAACAGAGGCTCTGCGTTGCAGAAAGCGAATAAGCATAGACTCCTGCAAAGGTCTGAATATTTCTGCTTGCTACGGATTTTTGCCTTGCACAACCATAAAAGAAATTCTCGATTTGCATGTGAATGTCCTGAAGAAGGTAATACAATGTTTCGGCCGATACGTCGTCAGAAAAACAGAAACAACAAAAATGATTTAAATTATGCACACATCCTTTTGATTAATAACAACACCATATAAAATGACACACCTATTTAAAGAATTGAAATAATTAGTTAGATGATGAAAATCACAATTAACTATTTGCTGCGATAGAAGTCAATCCTAAGATTTTAGTTGAGGAAGATAAGAAAATGGATACCAAAATCGTATGTTCTAGAATAACGAAATATAATTTTCGTCCAGTAAATATGCTTTAGCAATCACTTGAGGGTTAGGGTTAGGGTTAGAGTTAATTCGGGAGGCCATGTGTCTATTGAACAATTCAATTGTGTCATTTTGTATTCTTAAAATGTCTGTCCTCAATTAGTGGAAATTTTTAGTGATTATTCTGTCACCAGAGAGTTGCATATGGTGCTCATTACTCTGCTTGGTCTACTGAATTGGTTGTCAGAGCTTTTAACATTGGCATTCATCTTTCAGTTGTCTTTTTCTACAGTACTGTACTCTCTTGTACTAACTTCATTCAACAGATTTTAATGATCACCATTTCTTCCCACACATTATCAGCCATGCCTGATTTCAAAGTTTCTCTCCGTTTGGATGTGTGTTTCTGGTTCGCAACTTATGAGCTTGGCCCAATGTTGTAAGTATAGGACGATTTCGTTTTTTGCGGTGTGGAGATGGTAGGAATGGAAATATATATATTCAGGACATGAATCTGTGTCGATGATGTGTCAGAAATGCTATGCAAATAAAATGTGTCATAAATAACAACAATATATTTATTGTTCAGAGTCGTCACTGAATTGAATGCTTTCTCTCTCTCTCTCTTTCTCTCTCTCTCTCTCTTTCTCTCTCTTTCTCTCTCTCTTTCTGTCTATATATCTGGTTGATTGTTTTATGCTTGGCCGGTTTTAGTTGCTTTCGATTTATGACAATGTATAGTTTGTAATCATTATGTTTTACAGTTCGGTTGAGTATAACTTTAGTTTCTTTATAAAAGGTTTTTAAAATACTTCTGTTTCAAGTATTGCTACAAGTGAATTTCATTCTTCTTGAATTTTTAATTTGTTCTTTCTTCAATATGCAGATGTAAATAAAGGCCCCAAAGTTATTTAAACCTTTTACACCTTAAGTCAATTCTTGCATACGATTCAGAATTACCATAGCGCAGTTTATGTAAGTTTTTTATGCATCGAGTCACTGTGATCGTTCTCTCACGAATACATTGAATGTCTGAGGCGCCAAAAGCGTTTCCAAGACAAAAAGCGATCAAACATAGAATACGTCTTGGGAAATGAAAAGCAGCATAAACTTTTTAGTGTCAGTATTTGTAAATGACAAAACAATTTGAAAAGAAGGGGAATCCAACGAATTATACCCAGAAAAAAAAACCCCGCCGTTTCTTCCCATGGTGGCGTTTGAAGTTATAAACAATTTACAGCTATCTGCTTCAAGACTTTTAAAAAATCCAACTTCAAAGAATCGATGCAACCGTTTTGCTGAAATAAAATATAACTGGAAGCGATTATGTTGACTGACCAAAAATAACAATTCTCGCATTTTCTAATTCGAGTTTCTTTATATTAAGCAAAATATATCCATTTTCAAAATAATTCTGAGTTCAATGATAAATAAATGATTATTAAATTCCTGGCATCAATATCTTTGTTCTTCATCTAATTTATTTTCGCTTCCTTTCATATTGCTTTTTCTTTTATTCCATTGTTTCAGATTGCCAGAACTCTTTGTCTCTATGACTTTTAACCTTTCTATTATTTCTAAAAGAAACACAGGTAGAAATAAAAAAAGAATCACAACATATATATATATATATATATATATATATATATATATTCACACAGATGTGTGTGCACATCTTTGTTATTCTTATTACCTTTCATGATACATACAAGGTCCGTTCAGAAAAATTTCAGAAACGGTTGTACGGCGATAATATAATTTGAATGCCAATAAGATGGCATCACTGTGCAAACTTGAAGACGCTCTTTCTTGTTAGATTATTCAGTCGAGAGTGAAGCTCTACGGAGTGAGTTTGTGGACAGTGTAACCATCTCATTCACAATGACCGGATAGATTCATCAGGTTTCTTGTGTCTTTAAAAGACATCGCATCACTCAGATTGATACACGGCAATTTCAACCAAGATTTAGTTCCTTGTAACTTTTAACTTTTTCCAAAGCTAAACTCACCGTAGAAATGAAGTGGACAAGATGAAAGAGAATACAATGAAGCAGCTGATGGTGATACCGAGAGAAGACTTATACAGACTTATGAGGAGAGGATACTGGAATAAGTGGCGGAGATTAAAGAGAATATGATGAGGCAGCTGATGGCGATCCCGAAAGAGGAAATTGAAGATTGTTTTAAAAATTTGGCGTGATGTTGGAATTTTGTCTGAAGTCCCAAAGGGAGTAATTTGAATGAGAATAAGCAACTATTGCCCTAGTTGGTTTATATTCTATTAGATAGTTGGATACATTGCAGACAAAACTCGTATTTTCTATTTTTTCCTCTCTTAATATCACCCAAAACTTTTTTTTGTCATTCAAAAGTTGTATTTCATACATTTTCATTCTTCCTTTCTTTACAAGTGTTGCCAATTGAGCGTCTTCAGAGATTACGCGTCTTCTATTTCCGTATTATCATTTTTTCTTTTATGCCGAATCAAAAGAACCAGAAGGCACCGATGGAGAAGATAAAGGTTTTCTAAATAGGCGACGTACGGACTATTTTCTGTGACATTTCCTCCAGACGTTACGAATAATGACATTCTGATGAACCCGCGAATTTACCTGGCTTGCGGATATAAAAAAGGTGTCTACTCTGATCGGACCAATGAGAGTTTGACGCGTCTATCACGTGACTCGCTTGCAGCGGGTGTTCAGTCGCTTGTTCTTTGTAAACAAGCGCCATCACAAGTGACAACGCCGCTATTATGGTAATCATAGCTGGTGTCTTTAGCGAACTTCTCTTCGAAGCAAGAGATACACGGAGGGCGGGGAGGAAGAGATGAAGGGCGGGAAGGAAGAATACAGCAAATGACAGGGAGGAATAGAAGGAAAGGAGACAGTTTGGGGGGGGGGAGAAGAAGTAGGGGAAGCATGTTAAAATAGAGGAAGAGAAATAAGGCGAAAAGAATATAAAAACCAAAGAAATTGTCAAAGAAAGACAGAATGATTCAAGTTGGATTAAAATGAGAGAAAAGAAAAATATTTCAAATCATGAAAAAAAAGAAAACAAATTTCGAAGAAGAAGAAGAAGGAGGAGGAGGAGGAGAGGAAGAAGAAGAAGAAGAAGAAGAGGAAGAAGAAGAAGAAGAAGAGGCTCAACTGTTTCGAAGGATGAATCAGATATGAACAATTAGTTTTTGGAAAGTATATAACAAAAGTAAGAAAATACGGAATGAAAGGGAAGACAAATAAGAAATAAAGAGAGAAGAAAGAAAATAAGCGAGGATGGGTAGAGAGACAGACAGACAAGGAAAAAGAGAAAAAGAAGGAGATAATGAATAAAAATGTGAGAGTGACAGGAATTAAAAAGAGACCAGAAAAGGAAAAAGGAGAAATAATTAAGTAGAAATTAAAAAAAAGTAAAACGTGAAGATAAAACAGAAAGAAGAATTGCAAGCGAGTGAAGGAATGAAGAGTAAAGGAAAAAAAAGCAAAGACTGAAGAGAGAAAAAGAAGAAGAGATAAAAAAGAAAGAATGAAGAGAGAAAAGGAAAGGAGGAAGAGAGAAGAGGAAAAGAGGAAGAAGAAAGAAGGAAGAGAGAAAAGGAAAGGAGGAAGAGAGAAAAGGAAAGGAGGAAGAAGAAAGAAGGAAGAGATAAAAAAGAAAGAATGAAGAGAGAAAAGGAAAGGAGGAAGAGAGAAGAGGAAAAGAAGAAAGAAGGAAGAGATCAAAGGAAAGGAGGAAGAGAGAATTTTAAAAAAAACAGAAGAAAGAAGAGTTGAGAGAAAAGATGTATAATAAGATCTTCTGGAGAGGAAAAGAGGAAAAGAAAGAAGGAAAGAGAAAAGGAAAGGAGGAAGAGAGAATTTTAAAGAGGAAGAAGAAAATTTTTCAGAGAAAAAATAAAAGTTCAAAGAGAAGAGAAAATTTAAAAAGAAGAAAGAAGGAAGAGAGAAAAGGAAAGGAGGAAGAGAGAAGAGGAAAAGAGGAAGAAGAAAGAAGGAAGAGAGAAAAGGAAAGGAGGAAGAGAGAAGAGGAAAAGAGGAAGAAGAAAGAAGGAAGAGAGAAAAAGGAAAATTTCAAGAGAGAAAAATTTTAAGGAAAGAAGAAAAAAGAAAGAATAAAAAAAAAAATGAAAGAAAAATATTCAAAGGAGGAAGAATTGAAGAGGAAAAGAGGAAGAAGAAAGAAGAAAGAGAGAAAAGGAAAGGAGGAAGAGAGAAGAGGAAAAGAGGAAGAAGAAAGAAGGAAGAGAGAAAAGGAAAATAAATAAGAGAGAAAAGGAAAAGAGAAAAGAAAGAAGGAAAGAGAAAAATGAAAGATATTTAGAAAGAGGAATTTTAGGAAGAAAAAAAGAAGATCCCAAAAAAAGAAATATAGGATATATAAAGAAAAGGAAATATAAAAAAGAGAGAAGAGGAAAGGAAAAAGAAGAAAGAAGGAAAGAGAAAAGGAAAGGAGGAAGAAATGAGAAAAGGCCAGAGGAAGAAGAAAGAAGGGAAGAGAAAAAGGAAAAAAGGAAGAGAAAATTCAAAAGAGGAAGAAGAAAGAAGGAAGACCTTGTAGGAAAGGAGGAAGAGAGAAGAGGAAAAGAGGAAGAAGAAAGAAGGAAGAGATAAAAAAAAAGAATTTTTCGAGAGAAAAGGAAAATCCGAGAGAAGAGGAAAAGAGGAAGAAGAAAGAAAAGAGAGAAGAGGAAAATATTTCTAGAAAGAAGGAATATAAAAGGAAAAGGAGGAAGAGAGAAGATTTTCAAGAGGAAGAAGAAAGAAGGAAGAGAGAAAAGGAAAGGAGGAAGAGAGAAGAGGAAAAGAGGAAGAAGAAAGAAGAAGAGATAAAAAAGAAAGAATGAAGAGAGAAAAGGAAAGGAGGAAGAATGAAGAGGAAAAGAGGAAGAAGAAAGAAGAAGAGATAAAAAAGAAAGAATGAAGAGAGAAAAGGAAAGGAGGAAGAGAGAAGAGGAAAAGAGGAAGAAGAAAGAAGGAAGAGAGAAAAGCAAGAAAGAAGAGAGAAAAGGAAAGGAGGAAGAAAGGAGGAAAATCTCATTAAATGAGTTTGATTTAAAGGGAAGGAAGAGGAGAGAAAAGGAATGGAGGAAAATAGAAAAGGAAAGAACGGAAAAGAGACAAAGAACGAAGGAGGAGACAAAAGGAAAGGAAGAAGAGATAAAAAAAAGTAAAGGCTAAGTGAATAAAAATGAAACAAATATATAAAAAAAAGAAAGTTAGTTATTAAATCAACGTCTCCAGAAAATTACCTTGGACATTTTCATTTTATAAAAATTGTTTTCATTTGGATCTCGTTGTTCTAAATTGTCTACTGTATTGGGGTCTTCAGCAATACATTGATAGTTACGAACAGACACAACAAGCCCATGTAGCCACATACATAAAACTCAGACACGACATTCTTTGACAATTTTTTCTATACACACACACACACACAATTTTTTACATATTAAATATATATATATATTATATATATAGAGAGAGAGAGAGAGAGAGAGAGAGAGAGAGAGAGAATTAGATTTCACATAAGCTATTTGTTTTCTATGGTCAACAACAAATCAATCCTTACGACAAATCTGATGCGAAAAAATTAATATTCCAGTCTAATATTTAAACATAGCACACATGACAAAGTTATTAGGATGATTATCCACGCAACAAACGTGAAATTCGTTGTCAGTCTGTGGCTGCTTGGAAAACATCACGCTCACAATGTAAGATTAAAGACAAACAGGGAACTTTTGGTTAGAAAAAAATGGAAGCAAAGATTTTGGTTAATAAATTAAATTTAGATTTGGGGTCATCTAAACAAATTCAGGGATATATAATGTTAAAGTCAGACTACTTTGAATAATGATATTCTTCAATCTAATCGAAACAAGATAATATCAATTATATATTTACAATAAAGAGAAGTAAATTTAAAACAGAGTCAGACCCTTTCTTGTTACTGATGAATGTCTATATTGACTTATTGATTTTTGTTTACCAATCTTCAGGTGGAATTTAATCCTAAATTTTTACGGAGGGGGCTGAAGGATCCTCGTCCTTTTACCATCACCATTCTATTTACGTAAAAGTTATAAGAATTTAGAAATAATCAAATTATTTTATCTTTATTCTACACTTTAATTTGGCACAAATCTTTCTTCGTATGTGCAATTGATCTCCGTAGTTTGTTTACATTTATCAGGTCATCTCATAAGTTCTGTCCGAATTTTAACTTTTTGTTAAAATGAACGAAATTTAAAGAGTATTTTATAATGTCTAATGGAGCTGAACATTATTTTTATGTTTAGATGCATTTAAACTGATCAAATTTTATTTCAGAGAACAATAAAATTAAATTTTGTTTGATTAAAACCCTGCTAACATGGAAGTACCCAAGAATCATTTGAGGCACATAATGCTTTATGAGTTCAAGAAAGGAAACTCAGCAGCCGAAGCGGCTAGAAACATTCATTCAGTTTATGGAGAGGAATGTGTGAATGAAAGAACTTGCAGAAGATGGTTTGCAAAATTCAGAGGTGGAGATTTCACCCTTGAAGATGAAGATCGAACCGGACGTCCAGTTGAGTTTGATGAAAAGCTTCTTGAAGCAGCCCTTGAAGAAAATCCTGCTTTATCAGTTGAGGAATTGGCAGTGGTTCTCAGTTCAAACCATACAACTGTTCATCGTCATCTTCAACAACTTGGAAAAGTTCCTAAACTTGGAAAATGGGTGCCTCATGAATTGTCTGAAAACAACCTCAAATCCCGAGTTGACATCTGCTCTTCTCGCCATTCTCGCCAACTTGTTTCACCTTTTTGGATAGACTTTTGATTGGCGAAGAAAAATGGATCTTTTATCGAAATGTTAAGCGTCGTAGACAGTGGTTGGTAAAGGGAAAGGACCCCAGCCACAGCCGAGAAGGGAACTTCATGGGCAAAAGGTTCTTCTTTCAATCTGGTGGGATCGCCAAGGAATAATCCACTTTGAATTCTTACCACCTAATGCAACAATTAATGCTCAAATATACTGTCAGCAATTAGAGCATTTGAACCAAGCTTTGAGGAAAAAAAAAACCTGCTCTAGTGAATCGAAAAGAGGTGATGTTTCATCAGGACAATGCGCGACCCCACACAGCAAGAATCACGTCACAAAAGATCGAAGAACTTGGTTGGGAGAAAATTCCTCATCCACCTTATTCTCCCGATCTTGCTCCTTCAGACTACCATTTGTTTCGTAGCTTACAGAATCATTTGGAAGAAACAGCTTTCGTAACACAGGAAGTGGTTAAAACTGACATTTGTGAGTTCTTCGAATCAAAGCCAAAAGAATTTTACAGTAATGGAATTAGTAAGCTTGTTAATAGATGGAAGGACGTCATAGATAATCAGGGAAAATACATTGTGAATTGAATCTGCAATTAAATGTAACATTTGGTCACTTGTTTTTTTTATTCAAAATTCGGACAGAACTTATGGGATGACCTGATATTTTGCGCGCAATTTGTCTTTTCTTTTCGAATCACCTTTCTTTATGATTCCTTTATATAAAGCCACTCTTAAAAGACATTAGTGAAACCTATGTAATATTTCGAATAAGTTACAGTAAGCATGCTAAAAAAAAATAAAAAAAACATATGAGCAACCTACAATGTCCTGCTTAAATTTTAAGCACAGTTTAATTACGCGATATCAATTGTAATTGCGACGAAAAGCAAAATTTAAGTTAATCCTTTAAAAAAGAATACTTTTTTTAAACCTTTCACTCAGTTCAATATTTTAACTAAAATGAGTTATCTATTTAGATTTTAATCATGTACTTACTACCTGTTTTAATCACATCCTTACTACCTGTTTTAATCATGTACTTACTATCTGTTTTAATCACGTCATTACTACCTGTTTTAATCATGTCCTTACTACCTATTTTAACCGCATCCTTACTACCTGTTTTAAGAACATCTTTAATACCTGTTTTAATCACGTCCTTACTACCTGCTTTAATCACATACTTACTACCTTATTTAATCAGATCCTTACTACCTGTTCTAATCACATCCTTACTACATGTTTTAATCATGTACTTACTACCTGTTTTAATCATGTCCTTACTACCTGTTTTAATCATGTCCTTACTACCTATTTTAACCGCGTCCTTACTACCTGTTTTAATCTCGTCCATACTACCTGTTTTAATGACGTCCATACTACCTGTTTTAATCACATCCTTACTACCTATTTTACTCACGTCCATACTACCTGTTTTAATCACGTCCTTACTACCTGTTTTAATCACGTCCTTACCACCTGTTTTAATCATGTCCTTACTACCTGTTTTAATGACATACTTACTACCTGTTTTAATCACATCCTTACTACCTGTTTTACTCACGTCCATACTACCTGTTTTAATCACGTCCTTACTACCTGTTTTAATCACGTCCTTACCACCTGTTTAAATCATGTCCATAATACCTGTTTTAATTATGTCCTTACTACCTGTTTTAATCATGTCATTACTACCTATTTTAATCATGTCATTACTACCTGTTTTAATCACGTCCTTACTGCCTGCTTTTATTGCCATCCTTACTACCTATTTTAATCATGTCCTTACTACTTGTTTTAATCACACCCTTACTACCTGTTTTAAGGCGTACTAAGTGACAACGTGAATTCGTTGGCATCACAAAAGTGGCAACGAGTGTTCGTTGACATCACAAAAGTGACGACAAGGATTCACAAGGATTCCTTGAACTTACACAAGGATTTGGTCAGCAGAGTACAGCAAAATGGAAGAACTAAAAGCTACCATGGTTCAAATGTTGGCGCTACAGAATCAACAACAGTTACAACAACAAAAATTACAAGAAGAACAACATTTGAGGCAACAAAAGCGACAACATGAACAGTAATCACAATTGCAACTACAACAACAGAAGTTTTTTTTTGTTGTTTACAAAAGTAATGGAAGTTAAAACTTCAAATTCATTCACTACAGATGCTGTTGCTAATTCAATCAGGGAATTGAATACAATCCAGACGATGGGATAACATTTCCAGTTTATTATAGAAGATACGAATGGGTCTTCAAAAGGGATTGTTCGCATTGGAATGATGAAAAGAAAGTTCGGTTATTATTAAGGAAATTGTCCCCTGCGAAACATGATAAATATATAAATTACATTTTGCCAAAAAAAAAAACCAGGAGAGATACATTTTGATGAGACTCTTTTAATTCTATCAAAACTTTTTGGTGATAGGAGCTCATTATTTAATACACGATGGCAATGTCTTAACTTAGTAAAGTCCGACAATGAAGATTTTGTCACTTATGCAGGAGTCGTAATCGAGAATGTGAAAAGTTCAAGCTAAATGAATTAAATCCTGATTTATTTAAGCGCCTGATATTCGTACAGGGTTTAACTTCTAATAAGAACGCAGAGATAAGCTCCAGGATACTTGCTAAATTAGAAATGGATTTCAAATTAACTCTCCGGAAAATAGCGGAAGAATGTCAATGTATTGGGAATTTGAAACTCGACACCGCAGGGATTGAGTAAAAAGACAATTCACAAGTACATAGCGTACGACCTTCTGAGAGAGAAAAACTACAAACGTTTTTTTTAACTCCTAAAAGAACAGTAAAAAAGACGACAACCCCCCTCAGTACCTAATACTTGTCATGGTTGTAGAGGTAAGCATTTCAAAAGTGAGTGTTTCTTCAAGAACAAAAAATGTTATGAATATAGCAGATTAAGACACAAAAGTACGTGTTGCAGATACAGAAAAAAAATGGAGGAAAAATAAAACATATGTGAACATGGAGTAAAGATAAGAAGCCTAAAAGGGAAATTAACAAGACATCTCAAAAGAGAAAATTTGTTTTGTGCAAATTAATGATTTAAAAATAAACTTTTAACTAGATACAGAATCTGATATCACTATCATAAATGAACAGACATAGAGAAAAAATTTATAAACCTAGTTTATTGATGTCTGATAAAGTTAATCGCATGGAGTCTCAAGAAAGAGATTGAACGTTTTAAATCTGAATTCACCTTAACGTTTCTTTTTGTTGGAATATATATATATATATATATATATATATATATATATATATATATATATATATGTGTGTGTGTGTGTGTGTGTGTGTGTTTATGGAAATTTGAAGATATATGTGTTTGTATACGTATACATGCACACATTGACTGTTAAGTTCAAAATTTATCATCTATACACGCATCCGCTTTAAAATTTTTTTGAAGACGAATAAATTTCTTTTAAAATGAATTTTCAAAAATATCTGTTATAGATTAAAGGAAGAAACTTAAAGTAAACAAACTGCAGTTAATGATTTAATGTCATGTTATCAGTAAATATTTGCATTCAAAAATATCATGAAAAGATTTGAGTAAATAATTTTGTTTATATACCGAAATGTATTCACGTATGATTGCTAGCATAATTGAAAGTCTTTTAATTGACGAAATTGCACTTATGAATAAATGTTCATGTAGATTTGATTAAATAGACTAACATTGTATGAAAGTTCAAGCACTGACACATATACACACACAGATCAATATAAAATATCATAATTTGTTTATCTCTGAGTGTTCATTTGCTTTGGAGACTTGTAATAACATCGTGTCCCTCCAGGCGCGAAAATTGCAGTCATTGATTTATTTGTTTTCTTTTGCTAATTTAACAATTTAATGATCTCTCTCTCTCTCTCTCTCTCTCTCTCACACACACACACACACACACACACACACACACATACATACATATAGCATCTCTTTAAAATACCTGCAATCACCCAAACACTGTGTATATTGGTAGCAAATTATTTTGTTTACCTTTTCATTTCTTTTTAGACGTTTATTTTTTTAATTTTTTTTATTAATCTTTCTAATTTTAGATTTAGGCTGAACATTTCAATCAATTTTGAATCTACCTACTTTAATTTCTTTGTCTTGGGCAATGTTTTTTGTCAAAACCTCGTAAAAACCGGATTTGGTTATAGGTTTCATTATCCGCGAATTCTATCTTTTCTCAAGCGAAAATCATTCATTGAAAGGGAGGACATTTCAGAACGTGGACGACATTAGTCAGAACATGACTAGATTCCAAAAGAGGATCTTGAAAGTTGGCGTGAATAGCAGGAGAAACGCCGGGTATATTGATACATGTTTCATTAAATAATATAGGCAAGTGTTGTAATGCCTTCACTCTTCAGGGCCGAAAAGTAAAATCACTACAACATCGCGCTAACGAAACTTCGAAGTAGGCATGACAGAAATAACACCATTCAGTTAAGTGACAAGTTTTTCCACATTAATTCTATTAATTCTCGATCCTTATCTTTCTCTCTCTTTTTATCTCTCTCTCTCTCTGTCTCTCTCTCTCTCTTCTATATATATATATATATATATATATATATCAGCAGTCCTGAAGATTGCGTTCAAGCATGAAATAAGCCCATATTTGGTGTTGAACTCGTGTCCACACCGCTTATATTTACATATACTAAATCTCTGATGTTGAACACTTTTATCCTGTAAAGATAACATACCTTAAATGTATAATTTATCATATATATATATATATATATATATATATATATATATATATATATATATATATATATATATATATGTTCTGTGTGTTTGTGTACGCACTCAAAAAAAATAATATCAGATTAATTTATTTTCCCATTCTTTATCTCTTTACACATATTTCACAATCTATTCATGTTTAAATATTGATTGATTTGCATTGAGTTATAAATATACGCATATTTCAGTATAGAAAGTCACGTGTATATATATATATATATATATTTATATATATATAAATAAATATAAATGTAAAAGTGAACACTAACACTCAGAGCCTCCCTTAAAACACACACGCACACATATATATAAAGATACTTGTACAATCAATCTCACACATCTCTCTCTCTCTTATCCTCATTATGTTCTTATGTGTCTCTTTGCAATCTATATGAAACCTGTAGATATATAAATATCTATTTGCTTACACGTTTTCAAGAAGAGGTTCAATAACACCATAATTATCTAAAATATTCATTTATATTTTTCAATTAAATTTGTATTTGAATTTAATCCATAGTAAACGGCTTCATAATCTTTTACATTTACACTATGAACGACAGAATGACACATTTGTGAACAGGTGTCTATACATAGACGCACAAACACATTCAGACACACACAAACACACGCAGACACACACACACATACACACGGTGACTAATGTTGAAGGATGGATGATAGGCAATATTAAAAAGCAATCATTTAATCATAGTCTAATTAACAGATCGATATCTTTCTCTGTTATGCCGGCAGGTAAATGACCAAAATGTATTCGGTTCAAAATACAAAATGACTAATGGTGCAATTGAAGAACATTTTTCTTCCATTGATTAGCCAATCGCAAACATCGTGGCAACGTAAATAGGCGGCTTGCTATTTCGTCAAATTTGCATAATGTTTTCTCTTTTGGTATTTTTCCTCTTTATGTTGCTTCTCATTTTCTCGCTTGCTTGTTAAAGTTTTTCCCGTCTTGAAAGGCAAACACAGAATTTCACTGTATGGGTGTATCACTTCTGTATGGAAAACAACGCTACTAAATGAAAGGTAAGTAAGGGACTTCGCTGTATGAAAAGCAAGAAAGGAACGCGACTCAATGGACGGCATCGAAAGAACGACTGAGGGCGAAGATGCAACGCCGTTCTATGGAAAGGCAACGAAGTAATGCCTCCAGATGGAAGGCAACAAAGGAACTCGATTGTGGGAAGGCGGGGGGGGTGAACAACGAAGGAAAGCGTTTGTTGGAAAAGCATCGAAGGTAGCATCAATGCCAGGCCGCTCCTAAGGAAGGCAATTAAGGAATCCTTGTGGACGAAATAGCAAATCTCATAATCTGATGAGGTTGATAAATTGCGTTATTAATCTATTTATGACTTTTATTGAAAAACGTCTGTTTCTATTATCTTTACCGAAAAGTCATTTTATTTATACTGAAGAATATGAATTAGATGCTGAAAACGTTCAATTGACAGAAATCAAATGCATACTTTTTATGGAATGTTTTTCTTAGCCAATAGGAATACAGAACAAATATTCGGAACAAATATTTCTAAGTCGATGATCTTCCGTTGAAAGGTTAAAGAAGAAGAAGAAGAAGAAGAAGATGAAGAAGAAGAAGAAGGAGTTGATACTGACGAAAAGGAAGAAGTCAAACCCCCCAAAAGTAGTAACAGCATCAACAAAAAATATCCAAAAGAAAGGCTATATGAAGAAAAGCTACAAAGTTAAAAGGTCAGTTATTTTTAGTGCTATAGGGTTAAACAAGAATTTCCTACAACAATTAGGATTGCTTATCTCGATAGATCCAAACGATAAAATCACTTCGACCTACTGTCGGTCAGATCAGCCTTGGGAGTTTCAAGGTTTTTCTAATAAACATGACCGAAAACTATCAACATCACGCAGTACGAACCAGGAAATTTCGCCATCAAAATTAAAGGAAATGTTAGATATTGACAATGAAGCAGCAAAAGGTTGCATATATGGCTCGGTGTCCTTAAATGTCTGAAAAAGATGAGCAATGAAATATAAATCGTTAAAGCAATGAAATAAAAGTGAAAGTAATAAAAGAAAATCAACGAGGTTATTTGATAAGTTTTGATTTTAAAAGCTGTTTATTTAAGGGCCATTAAATGTTATTGCAGCCATATGTGCATTGTTTTGCAATGTTAGCCACTGATTTCATTGTGTAGTATATCGTCAAATAATCGTATCGACAGTACTGTTCTCTATTTCTGTCAGTTATATTTAAATACACAGATAAAAACAGATCGATTACTGAGGAGAAATAATCGATTAAACTTGTCGCCACTCCATCCTCTGTGCAAACCATCAATTACTGGATGAGTTCTGTGTTGGGGCGCACCCACCTTCTAACTAGTAATGGACTGGTCCCTCTTATATAAGTCAGCTCTGGGGAGAGAGAGTCGGCGTTAGTAGTCCAGATAAGCACCCAAGAAAGTACATACCGTTGGACTATAGACTTTGGATATTGTTTCGTACTAACCAACCTTCGTTCTACTAATCACTCTATTGTTAATTGCTTTTATGAATATACCAGTATTTTCCTCTACAACTGTGTTTGTCTTGATACATACACCGACACGCGGGAAACTCACAACATCTCAACATTCTGTAATAATAATAATAATCAAGAAAGAAGAGAGTCGGTAGATTACAGACATGCCTGTATCGACAGACTACAAAGAAAAGGCAAAAATTGAAAATAAATACCAGGACGTTGCGCTGAGAATAAGAAAACGGTTGATCCTAGCGATGACAACACACCCAGAAGTCTGCAATAATTGGGTGAATCTTGTTTTGGGATACATCCAAGAAGTCTGCAATAATTGGGTGAATCTTGTTTTGGGATACATCCAAGAAGACTGCAATAATTGGGGTGAATCTTTTGTTTTGGGATACATCCAAGAAGTCTCTCATCCAAGCAATAATTGGGTGAATCAATTGTTTTGGGGATACATCCAAGAAGTCTGCAATAACATGGGTGAATCTTGTTTTGGGATACATCCAAGAAGTCTGCAATAATTGCAATAATTGGGTGAATCTTGTTTTGGGATACATCCAAGAAGTCTGCAATAATTGGGTGAATCTTGTTTTGGGATACATCCAAGAAGTCTGCAATAATTGGGTGAATCTTGTTTTGGGATACATCCAAGAAGTCTGCAATAATTGGGTGAATCTTGTTTTGGGATACATCCAAGAAGACTGCAATAATTGGGTGAATCTGCAATACATCCAAGAAGTCTGCAATAATTGGGTGAATCTTGTTTTGGATACATCCAAGAAGTCTGCAATAATTGGGTGAATCTTGTTTTGGGATACATCCAAGAAGTCTGCAATAATTGGGTGAATCTGTTTTGGGATACATCCAAGAAGTCTGAATCTTGAAGGTTTTGTTTGGGATACATCCAAGAAGTCTGCAATAATTAGGTGAATCTTGTTTTGGGATACATCCAAGAAGTCTGCAATAATTGGGTGAATCTTGTTTTGGGATACATCCAAGAATCTGCAATGTTGAATCTTGTTTTGGGATACATCCAAGAAGTCTGCAATAATTGGGTGTTTTGGGAATCTTGTTTTGGGATACATCCAAGAAGTCTGCAATAATTGGGTGAATCTTGTTTTGGGATACATCCAAGAAGTCTGCAATAATGCAATCCAAGAAGGCTGCAATTGGGTGAATCTTGTTTTGGGATACATCCAAGAAGTCTGCAATAATTGGGTGAATCTTGTTTTGGGATACATCCAAGAAGTCTGCAATAATTGGGTGAATCTTGTTTTGGGATACATCCAAGAAGTCTGCAATAATAATTGGGTGTTTTGGAATCCAAGAAGGCTTGTTTTGGGATACATCCAAGAAGTCTGTAGTCTTGCAATACATCCAAGAAGTCTGCAATAATTTGAATCTTGTTTTGGGATACATCCAAGAAGTCTGCAATAATTGGGTGAATCTTGTTTTTGGATACATCCAAGAAGTCTGCAATAATTGGGTGAATCTTGTTTTGGGATACATCCAAGAAGTCTGCAATAATTGGGTGAATCTGTTTTTGGGATACATCCAAGAAGTCTGCAATAATTGGGTGAATCTTGTTTTGGGATACATCCAAGAAGTCTGCAATAACTGGGTGAATCATGTTTTGGGATACATCCAAGAAGTCTGCAATAATTGGGTGAATCTTGTTTTGGGATACATCCAAGAAGTCTGCAATAATTGGGTGAATCTTGTTTTGGGATACATCCAAGAAGTCTGCAATAATTGGGTGAATCTTGTTTTGGGATACATCCAAGTAGTCTGCAATGGGTGAATCTTGTTTTGGGATACATCCAAGAAGTCTGCAATAATTGGTGAATCTGTTTTGGGATACATCCAAGAAGTCTGCAATAATTGGGTGAATCTTGTTTTGGGATACATCCAAGAAGTCTGCAATAATTGGGTGAATCTTGTTTTTTGGATACATCCAAGAAGTCTGCAATAATTGGGTGAATCTTGTTTTGGGATACATCCAAGAAGTCTGCAATAATTGGGTGAATCTTGTTTTGGGATACATCCAAGAAGTCTGCAATAATTGGGTGAATCTTGTTTTGGGATACATCCAAGAAGTCTGCAATAATTGGGTGAATCTTGTTTTGGGATACATCCAAGAAGTCTGCAATAATTGGGTGAACATCCAAGTTTTGTTCCAAGAGATCTTGTTTTGGGACATCCAAGAAGTCTGCAATAATTGGGAATCTTGAATCTTGTTTTTGGGTGAATCTTGTTTTGGGATACATCCAAGAAGTCTGCAATAATTGGGTGAATCTTGTTTTGGGATACATCCAAGAAGTCTGCAATAATTGGGTTTGGGATACATCTCTGTTTCTTGTTTTTGGATACATCCAAGAAGTCTGCAATAATTGGGTGAATCTTGTTTTGGGATACATCCAAGAAGTCTGCAATAATTGGGTGAATCTTGTTTTGGGATACATCCAAGAAGTCTGCAATAATTGGGTGAATCTTGTTTTGGGGACATCCAAGAAGTCTGCAATAATTGGGTGAATCTTGTTTTGGGATACATCCAAAGAAGTCTGCAATAATTGGGTGAATTTTGTTTTGGGATACATCCAAGAAGTCTGCAATAATTGGGTTTTGGGAACATCTTGTTTTTGGGATACATCCAAGAAGTCTGCAATAATTGGGTGAATCTTGTTTTGGGATACATCCAAGAAGTCTGCAATAATTGGGAATACATCCAAGAAGTCTGGGTGGGTGAATCTTGTTTTGGGATACATCCAAGAAGTCTGCAATAATTGGGTGAGTCTTGTTTTGGGATACATCCAAGAAGACTGCAATAATTGGGTGAATCTTGTTTTGGGATACATCCAAGAAGTCTGCAATAATTGGGTGAATCTTGTTTTTGGATACATCCAAGAAGTCTGCAATAATTGGGTGAATCTTGTTTGGGATACATCCAAGAAGTCTGCAATAATTGGGTGAATCTTGTTTTGGGATACATCCAAGAAGTCTGAACTGGGAACTAAGTGAATCTTGTTTTGGGATACATCCAAGTAGTCTGCAATAACTGGGTGAATCTTGTTTTGGGATACATCCAAGAAGTCTGCAATAATTGGGTGAATTTTGTTTTGGGATACATCCAAGAAGTCTTGTTTTAGGATACATCCAAGAAGTCTGGGTTCATGTTTTAGGAAGTCTGCAATAATTGGGTGAATCTTTTGTTTTGGATACATCCAAGAAGTCTGCAATAATTGGGTGAATCTTGTTTTGGGATACATCCAAGAAGTCTGCAATAATTAAGAATCTTGTTTTGGGATACATCCAAGAAGTCTGCAATAATTGGGTGAATCTTGTTTTGGGATACATCCAAGAAGTCTGCAATAATTGGGTGAATCTTGTTTTGGGATACATCCAAGAAGTCTGCAATAATTGGGTGAATCTTGTTTTGGGATACATCCAAGAAGTCTGCAATAATTGGGTGAATCTTGTTTTGGGATACATCCAAGAAGTCTGCAATAATTGGGTGAATCTTGTTTTGGGATACATCCAAGAAGTCTGCAATAATTGGGTGAATCTTGTTTTGGGATACATCCAAGAAGTCTGCAATGGGTGAATTTGTTTTGGTGAATCTTAACTGGGTTTTGGGATACATCCAAGAAGTCTGCAATAATTGGGTGAATCTTTGTTTTGGGATACATCCAAGAAGTCTGCAATAATTGGGTGAATCATGTTTGGGATACA